AAGTATAAATCAAGATTGGATACAAAAGGTTTCACTCAGACTCCAAGTATAAACTACCAAGACTCTTGCCGCCAAGGTTGAACACGGTGAGGATCATTCTTTAACTAGTAGCTAATAAATCATGATCACTCCATCAGCTATTAAGAATGCATTCTTGCATGGAGACATCCAAGAAGATATCTATGTGACCATGCCTCCTAGTTTTCAAATCAAGGGGGAGACAGGATAGATTTGCAAGTTAAAGAAGGCGATATATGGACTTTAAGAGCCTCCTAGAGCATGGTTTAAAACATTTAGTGAGGAACTACTGAAATTTGGTTTGTACAGGAGTCAAGCTGATCATACACTATTTGTGAAGAAGAATGCTACTGGAATTACTGCCCTGATAGTATATGTTGATGATATTGTCGTGACAAGTTGAAGATCTTAAAACTTATTTAAGCAAGGTGTAGGATATCAAAGATTTAGGAACCCTAAAGTACTTTTTGGGAATTGAAGTCGCAAGATCAAAGAAAGGGATTGTCATATCCCAGAAAAAATATGTGTTGGACTTATTACAACAAACGAGGATGTTGGGATCTAGACTTGCGAATACTCTTATAGAAGTCAATCATAAACTTCATGGAGAAAGAGGAGAGTTACTCAAAGATCCTAATCAATATCAATGAATAGCAAGCAAGCTTACATACCTCACAATCACTCGACCAGATATCTCTCATGCGGTTAGTGTGGTCAGCCAATTTATGCATGCACCACATTAACCACACATTGATGCATGTAAAGAGTATTAAGATATCTCAAGTCTGCACCAAGGAAAGGGGTATTTTTCTCCAATCAAGGACATCCTGATGTTGGAGTTCACATAGATGCTAATTGGGCTGGCTGCTTTAGCGTTGAAAATAATGATTTTCTTTTTATTTTGCAGGGATATTTAGTAGAGACTAGATGCCACTTATTCTCCCTCAGTGAGAGGGTAGAGATTCTAAGCCTAGCTCAGATTAGGAGATTAGTTAGGATAGAGGAGATTAGTTAGGATAGGCCTATGGGATATTTGTAGGCCCAAGACCTTTCGTTTAGACCTTCCTTTGATCATAGAGTTGTGTGCCCGGTTTAGACCAGAGACCAACTCATTTGCACTGCCACCTAGGGAGATGTCGCCCACCCAAGAGGATGTCACGAGGATCTTGGAGGATAGGAGTAAGGGAGAGCCCATTGTAATGACCCAAATTTTTTGGAATTTAAAAAAAAAATAAAAAATAAAAAACTAAAAAATTAAAAAAAATAAAATAATAATAATAATAAATAAGATTTACTTAAGTGATGGACCATGGTGTTGATAGTGCACCTTGAGACCACCCTTTTTCAATACCATTCTTTTCCACAGAATTGTTTAAGGAAACATTTAATTAAAGATATTAGTGCACTACGTGGCATCATGACTTAATAACAAGAGGTAAGGTGGCAACATAAGATAAAATAAGGGGTTATGTGGCATTAGGAAAACAATTAACAAAAAATTGAAAATACAAAGGGAGGACACATGACTTGACAAGTGTCAAGTTAAGGAATGTCCTCCCTTACCTTAAAAACATTCCCTTTCCCCCGTCGTGGGCTAATAATAGAGCTCATTAAGGATTTCACTCCTTTTTCTACGCAAGTCTCTCCTCTCTCTCCATCAATGTATATTAATTTTGTTTGTTTATTTCTCTTCTCTCTCCCCCTCATGATATTTTCATTACACTCTCTCCCATAATAATATTATTGTAATTATATGCTCATAATATCCTCATTGTTTCCTTATAATGATATTATTATTGTGAGGTAATAAATTATGCCAGCCATTATTACATCACTGTTTAATTTATAGTCTATGTTCATATTAATTGTGTGCATATTATATGCACTGCTTAAAAACTTTATTACTGTAATTGCTTCAAATATATTGTTAGTATTTGCACTACTTAAAACTTTTAAAACTGTAACTGCTTCAATTATACTATTCGTAATACTAAAAAAATTATGATATTATAACTGCTTCTATGAAAAATTACGATACTGTAACTGCTTATATGATATTGTAACTGCTTAAAAATACTGTAAGTGTTATGCACTGTTCAAAATAACAATATTTGCACTGATTAAGAAACTCATTACCTCTCTCTCTTTTCATATCTTTAGCTAAACACCTTTGATTCTAGTTCTACTCAAGCAACTCCCAGAGTGACTTATATGTAAGTGACCTCATTTTCCTGAAAAATAGTCATCTGAAAAATGGTATTATCGCTTTCAATAAAATTGTAGTGTTTTCATTTGCTGTTATGAATTTTAGATGCCATAAGTTCTATACGTAAGTGACTTCATGTCTTCATTATTTGAAAAACTAATATTACTGCCAGAGATATGTCGGTATTTAATTGTAATATTTCTAGTATAAATGTTAGTTATTGTAAGTGGCTTCATTTTCCTAATATTGCTATAGTGTTCCCAAAGATATTTCCGCATTTAATTGTAATATTTCTGTTACTGTAAATTTTACGTATTTCTGTATTTATTTCTGCATAAATTTTAGATACAGTAAGTAGCAAATGTTATACGCAATTGTTATGCGCAATCATTATGTGTAATTGTTATGTGTAAGTGTTATGCGCAATCGGTATGTGCAAGTGTTTATGCAAGTGATTTAAAGGATATTTTGAAAAGAAATTGATATTAATGTTTCCTGATATCTACTACATCGATATATAGCCTGCAATTGACATAATAATGTCTTCTAATTTATATGCATAATAGTATAATATAGTGATGCCACTCGTGACTATATGTGTAGCATAGACATGGTTATGTTTCTTGTGATTACACATGAGACATCCTTCTAATGAGATATGTGTGCATGGAAACATGTTTCTGATGAGATACGTGGGCATGGCAGCATGTTTTTGATGAGGTATGTGTGCATGGCAACATGCTTTCGATGAGAAATGTGCGCATGGTAACCTGCTTTCGATAAGATAAAGGCGCATGGAGACATGCCCTTCTTATGATATGATATGATATTGTGCCAGCAGCTGTGATTTTTCCCTAACTCTTCATCTTAGGATGAGAGTTAGGAGTGCATGTGTTTGAAGGGTCGTGCCCCAAAATCTATGTGATGGCACTACTCATTGGGATCCCTTTGGTAGTATAACGCTCTCTCGCCAGAAAGGCACATGAGAGGATCATGTCTTGCAAGACCCATGCCTATCAAAAAGCCCCAAAGCGCGCTGCGGACTGTGTGCGTATATGAGGCACTACGCAATGGATTTAACCGTTGGTGGTGCTTCTTCCTGTGGAATAGTAGAAGTTCTAACCTTGGACCCAAGGCCTGGGACCTGAGGTTGGTGCTTCTATTGCAGGATTTTTATTGTTGTGAATGCACGGTGATTTTGTTGTTGTGAATACCGGCTGATCATGCCTGATACTCAAATGCAGTAATGTTTTAACAGTACTCCAATTAGATTATAATTGATCCTTATATGAATACGTGCAATTAGTCTATGTATCATGCCTATTTTATTTGACCAATAAGGAATACATGACATGTGGGAGATTAGAAATGAATATATTTACTGGCATGTAGTAGAATGAAATCGATACGCTGAAATTTTGCTTAATGTGTATTGTTTTATGAAATAATTGCACCTCTAGCCATGATTTGTAAGGTTAATGATGGCCACTTACTGAGTAGCCATACTCATTAAGCAATTATGAAATTTTTCAGAGTAGTCACAGCAGTATCGTTCATATGTACAGCAGGAGTGGTTTGGGAGAAGTTTATAGCCATGAATAAAATCGTTTTTCTTTTTTTCTTTTTTTTTGTAACTTTTGTTATATCAAGGTTGTATACATATGTTATGTACTTTGCACAAAAAGCTTTTGAATGGAACATTTTGTTTTGAGGCAACATATAGTAACAAAATTTTGCTTTTGTTCTTGTTTTTTTTTTTTAAGGATAGACTGTTACATTCAGGAATTTTGGCGTTAAGACTTGGGATGTGACACCCATCCTTTGCCCACCTTCAAAGGCCATAAAGGATGTGACGGCAGTTATAGTGGAGTCATTAAGAATAACCCCTTCAGATAGTAAGCTGAGGGATAGAGACACTATCCAGCTTAGTTCTCCTCGCCAAAACACTAAACTGCAACACTAAACAGTTTCTAAAAATTTCTAGAAACTCCCTTTGAAACCTAGGTTAGACATTCAAATCTTCGAGGAATGACAACTCATTTCAATTTCCTTTTCTATGTAGGTCATGGTTTGCACAAGAGAGGTTTGAATCTTAGACCTCTCTCCTGCAAGCTAGAACGTCTTAACCTGAGGGTGAATCCTAGTTGTCTCCATGTCAAATTCATTTCCAGAAATGCTCATTCAAGATACTTATTCAAAACTTGGAACAACCAGACATTTTTAAATGCCTAAAAACTCTATAAGTGTATGCACTTGGGAGCATATGAAAATAACTGATAGGACATGTATAAATCACCAGGTGCAGGTCAAGAGACTTTCTTCGTTAGCAGAACAACATATTTCAAATGTCCCAGACACTCCACATATGCAAATCATCAGCACCATAAAAATCTTTAGAAACCACACTTTTTGTAAGCAATTGTAATGATTGCCTAATTGTAGAGAAAATAAAATATAGATATTGTCACTAACCATTAAATTAGTACTCCAACCAAAAATATTTGAAGAAGTGCAACTGTCATGTTGCAAAGAAAATAAGAATGGTAATCTCAGCAAAGGGTCTATTTTTGCAGCTTATGCCCATGAAGGTTTGCAAAACCACAACCAGTAGATTTATTATGGTAAATAAATTCCATTCTATGGTATGCATTCTACCTATGTTATCCTAGTATAACATCTAGCCAAAGCCAAAAAAACAGAAATGTAATAAAGTTGACTTATGATTAATAATGACTAACTTCAATATATACTTCAAAATGGAAACTAGGATACTCACTTGGTGAAATTTCTGTTCTTCTTAACAGTTGTTGTACTGCCTTTGGTGACTGATATTCATCATGCTGCCAAAGAATATCGCTGACAAGGATAGCCGGACTGCAATTCAGAAGTTTTCCATATTATTAACAACCAAGTTTACTGAAAAACAATTGAGAATGTAACAGTTTCCCAAAAACAACAAAAAAATTGATAATGTTGTTTAAACCTATATATCTAGAGAAAGCTTATGATAGAGTACCTCGATATTTGATTTGGTGGGAGTTGGAAAAGAAAAGGGTCTTCTAATACTGCATCGACTTGGTGAGCGCGTTAATTAGTTTGCGATCAACTAGTGGAGAGACAAGTGAGTTTTCAATGACAATAGATCTACATCAAGGTTCAGCATTGAGCCCATACCTCTGTCTTAGTTATGTACGACTTAACTAGGCACCTACAAGATGAGGTGCCATGGTGCATGTTTTTTGCGGATGACATAATTTTGATTAATGAAACCCAAAGCCACATCAACACAAAGTTAGAACTTTGGAGGGATGCTCTAGAATCTAAAAGTTATAAAATTAACCGGATTAAGACAATATACAAAATGCAAATTTAGTAATAATAGGAGTAGAGACAAGGAAGTAGTCAAGATTGACAGCTAAGAAATACCAAAAAGAATGCACTTTCAATATCTAGAGTTAACAATCCAGGAAAATGTTGAGATTTAGGAAGATGTCGCACATAGAAAGCTGGGTAGGCGAAGTGGAGATGTGCAACTGGAGATTTCTGTGATCGCAACATACCAATGAAGCTGAAGAGCAAGTTCAATAGGACAGCTATGAGACCAGCTTTTATGGGGCAGAATGTTGGGTGATCAAGAAACAACAAATCATAGGATGAGTGTAGTTGAGATGGATGAGTGACAAGACAAAAAGGGATAGAATTTGAAATGAATACATTTGATAGAACTTAGGTGTGGCTCCAATAGGCGATAAGATGAGAGAAAGTAGATTTAGGTGGGCTGGTCATATGCAACACCGGCCCAGTACAACACCTATTAGGAAGTGCAAGTTAGTTCATGAGGAAGGATCAAAAAAAGTAAAGGGTAGGCCCAAAAGGACGTGGTTGGAAGTTTTGATAAAAGACATGGGGACTTATGACCTCACTGAAGGTATGGCCTCACTAAAGGTATGGCCCTTGATAGAGGAGAATGTCAAATCATGATTCACGTAGCCGACCCCAAATAATTGGGAAAAGGCCTTGATGATGATGATGATGATGATATGGAATAGGTTAAAAAATGACCGAATTCTTGAGAATACATCAGCAAAACTATTGGGTTTTCAATTAGGAAAATGCAAGAAGTATCCATACCAACATATCAACTACCAAGTTACAAAACATCATGTAATGCCTATCTCAATTCTTGGTCAGTTCATTGCTTCTTTATAAGCTTTATCAAAAATAATGATTTTTAGCAATTTCTATAGCATCACCAATGTTTTGCCTATTTCTAAGAAACAGGTACAGCTAAGTCATTTCTTCAAGATTGAGGGTAGTTTTGACCTTTCAAATTTTTGAGGGTCTGCAAGCGAGGGAGCAGTCACTAGCATCGACAGGAATAATCAAGAGCCTCAGTTGTACTTTGACCACACTGGATAACATGGCTCACTCCCCAGCAAGTCAGAATTTCTTCTCCAATTTCATCACAACAAATGTATCTTTGCTTGTATGATTAACAAGAGACATGACAATTGGTTCTCTTTAAAAAAGATTTTGCTAATTTGGTTTGATTCACAAGAATAGATGTAGTTTAGTAACATTGACAAATCAAGAATATGCAGGTAAATCTTGAGAAATACATAATATATGATTCATTCAGAATAAATCTGTTAGATCAGAACGAATTCAGGATTATTCGAGTTAATATTTAGAAATTCAGATCACTTCAATTTTAATCTGGAATTAGATATCTAAATCATTTTCAGGTGCATTGGTTAATCACAAATAAGTATTGTAGTTTGATTGCTTTTTAAGCAATTGGTTCACCTAAAGAACACCTGAATCACGTTACTAGAGCATTATTCAAATGCCTCTTATACAACAACGTATATGATAAAAAAAAAGTCAAAAACCAAATAAGGAACTGCATTTTCTACAGATGATGCAAGCATATCGCAAAGTGATCCACAAATGTTAGAAAAGGATAGACACAAAATCCTAATAGAACACATTAATACTGCAGCACCACAAACAATTTTTAATCATGGTCTTCTTGTTGTCAGGCATGAAACACCCCAAATTAAACTCAAGCACAAAAAAACTTTGTACTCTAATTTCCAAGATAGAATGGTCATCGAACTCCTCCTCCCTTGTCCTAGATCCCAGTAGTCCGCAAACACAATACATTGCTTCATAATCAATTGATCCTGACTTGAAACCCTCAATTAAGATAATTTGTATCATTTCTAATTATCGTCTGACATCAAGCTTGTTTTATGTATCAATAAAGTTCTTTTTACTTCCGTATGTGTTTTATTTGGGTCCTCAAAGACAAATGTTAAGCGAGATTTATCATTACAGCCCAAGGTATACCTTAACCACTTGAGGTATGCCTAACCTGCAACCAACACTTCAACTTCTCCTTAACTGCGACCAAAACTCCATATCCCCCTTAGCCGAGGTGAAAACGAAATCCCTTGCAAAGGCAACATGCAGAGAAGATAATACTGCCGATCATGAGAACAGAGCTCTCACTTCTCCGTAAAAGCAAGATATGGGTTTGAAATGGAGCTTAATTCTCCACTTCTAGAAAATTCTAAAGTTCTAAAAGGGGCAAGAAACTTGAACTTTGTCAAAACTCAATCGACCCTTTGCTTCAACAAACGAATGCAAAAAAGTGGGTTTTTCATTTATCAGAAAGAGCAATCATTGATAACTTCCAAATCACATGGCGTCAGCAAAAACCTCAATCCATTACTCTGGTGGCATGGTCATGCCCTCAACCCCAGCATTTCAAGTTGAATATTGATGGTGCTTCTGTACAAAACCCAGGTTTGGCAGGTCGTGGTGGTGTTAGTAATGGTGCTTTTATAACTGCCTTTCCTAAGCTATTTGGATATACCCCTAACAATTATGAAGAGTTTCATGCCCTTGAGGAAGGTATTCGCCTAGCCATTCAGATGAATTGCTTTCCTCTACAAGTAGAAAGCGATTCATCTATACTTGTGAATGCCATTCATGATTGTTGTCGAGCCCCATGGAGATTACATACGATTGCAGCTAATTGTCGAAGTAAACTTTCAAATTATGTATGGTCAATTCCTATATCTTTCGTGAGGCCAATATGGTAGCCGATGCCCTTGCTAAGAAGGCTTCTTTTATTTTTGGAGCTACTATTTGGCATTTTCGACCGTTGGACTTTATTTCCCTTCCTTTACTTCATGATTTGGTGCAACTGCCCTATTATAGGGTTGTAAAATACGGAACTGTTTGTTTTTAAATTTTATTAATGGAAAACGGGTAGGGGGCCTTCTGCCCCACTGACTTACCCAAAAAAAAATGGACTTAAGAGGCACGAAATGCTCTCACAATCTTCAAGGAATTTACACTAGCAACTTGAAAAATCCAAATTGGATCATGACGAGAATACCCCCAAGATACAACTAAACCTAGTGAAGCACAGTGAAATCTTCTTTGAGTTGCATGCTCAAGAGAGGTCACTGAAAAATCCAGTTTTTGCAATGATTTTCCTCCAATGACTTAGGCTATTATGTTGCACAGGTACAAATACATATTAGATCATGAGAAGAGGTTTTGGACTCTTTAAGCAATAAAAAATAGGATTGGACTTGCGCATGTGCATATGCATGTGCACGCGCGCACGCACGCATCAGCAAGCACACAAATACACACAAATATGCACAAGAAGATGAACATCACTGATTTAAAACAAAATAAAATAAAATGCTAGTGATCGAAACATGGGTGTACAGTTGCACAAAAGTTGCAAACTGTTTTCATCTAATAGTTGATTGAGGAGAGAAAATACTTAGGCTATATTATCCTCTACCTCTCCCTTGATTCCCTTTCAAGCAGTATTGTTAAAAGCATATTGGCCCAGCCCGCTCAAACCTAAAACAGGTGTATCAAGTCCAGTCTACCCCACTGGACTAGATGGTCCATGAACTAGTAATAGACCAATGAACCAGATAGGATTGGCTGGTCCATCAATCCACTACCAAACTGGCTAGTCCCAATGGGACCAAAAAAATATCGAAACACCTTTAATGGGTTTTCTTTTTATCCTTTTTAAGTAGTTCAGGGTGGGCATTTTGCTAAGTTTTCACATTAGGGATGGTTTTGGGGTTAAAAAAGAGGAGTTTTGGAGAGAACTATTTCGACAATTTTTGCACTATTCTCTAGTAGAAAACCACCATTCTAGGGGAAAAAGCAGGCTAGTTTTGAAGGGGATACCAGCTAACAATCCACCCCACTTTAAGCCCCAAGTTTTATCATACCCATTTTTGCAATGTTTGTTTCCTATTTGGACAAACCAGAAAAACAAAATCTCATTGTTTTTGTCAAGAATTAGTACTTTTATTTTTATTTCCTAAACAATGCAGTAAATTGTTTCTGGTAATCATGTTCAATGTCGTTTTTGCTCTAATAAGTTCAATGTAACCGAATTTTGCTAAGTTGGTAGCTTATATGCATTCTTTTTGCGGTTTTGTATTTTCATTTGCTTCGTCTGTTTATTTTTTATTATTTAAAACATCAATGGAACTAAGAAGAATATTTAAAGGCGTCATTTGTTCCATCATGGATGTTGGGCACTTTCAATTTTTATGTGAAAAAGTGAGTTTTATGCATTTTTTAGCTTCTTTAATGCTTAAGTGCAACTATGGAAAATGTTGAAGTATTGAAATACGTTTACAACTAAAATCATGTGCTTTTTTTGAAATTTCAGTTTTATGTATATTGATGACACAGTCATGATATTGCTATGGTTCTTTTACTCAAAAAAAAAAGATATTGCTATGGTTCTGATTATGTGAATCAATGATAATTTTTTGTTCAATAGTTTAACACTAAGAATCATTATTTAATATGCCCTC